TGACTTAGAATTTGCTTATTGTATTTGGGTAATTTTTATATGCATGTTAAGTATAATTATCTGCTATATGGTCAGCAAGTAAACTTCACTTCCTTTCTTGGTAAGAGAGAGAGAGAGAGAGAGAGACTATTTTGATATTAAAACGTTTTGTATAAATAAAAAGTTTGTGCAGTTTATTATACAGGGTTTGTTTTTTTTTTTCATTTTTATGCTTCACCTGTTTTCGCAAGAAGGTCACGAAGGCCAACCGTATACCTATGAGGCCAAGGTAAAAAACTTTATTCAATGGATTAAAACAAAGACCGATTCTGGGGAGATGAAGAATACTGTTTTTGGTGGATATTACCCATATCCACCAGTACCAGAGACATTTACCAAGTATAGTATTTCTGTTAAAGGTACTAATATAATTGTGATACGTTTATAAACTTTGTGATGTTTATGTGATATGTTTATAAGCTTTATGGTATATGCCATTTCAGTTAGTCAACTATATTTTATTTGAGTGAGACAAAGTGGACTAACACTTACTGATAATCATTCTGTCTTTATGCACCCCAAAAATACATGTCATGCCTCTTAAAGGTTAATATTTTGATTTTTAATTAGATTGAAGAGAAAATACAGAGGATGGCTAACTGGTAATGTATGGATTTCATACCATTGGGATCAGGTCTGACCTTGGTAGATCTCAACGCCTATGAAGTTACATATAGACTAAAGATATCTAAAAGATATGCTGAGCAATTTGATATCCAGATACTGACAACTGTATGATGCTATTCTTGTGGAATTATATATATTGTATATAACACAATTGAGTGTTACCTTTAAATAAAAATGACACCAAAGTAAATGAGATACTGAATTTGAACTAAAGTACTCATGAGAGGCCTAATGTTAATTTGCTTTTTAGCAGAATTAAGATATTATAGTTGAAGTTTAACACAACTATGTTCTTTTTAAGAGTTAATGGGATAATTGCATGATTTTGAAAAAAAGATAAACTTTGAAATGCTCAGTTATCATCATCTAAATATTGGCATACTCTTACACTTCATAATACTAGCAATATATAGTGTTTAGTTGAAAATAATTAAAATGTGTGTTTCTATGCAGTGTCTGGGCAACACTTTATAGTTTGAAATATGATATATAAGTTAGGTTCAATATGCAGAGTTTCTGTTACTAATGAAAACTCCAGTCTGGAAGTCTGTATTACAATTTAAATGATAAAAGTATTTTGCCTATTTTACAAAACCTGCATAAAGGATGCCAAAGATAAACACAGAGTCTTAAAAATTTATGTTAATGTAGCAAGTTTTTAATTTATGTTGTGAAATTGCATTGCAAATCTGATTGTTATTTTTATCATTTCAGTTCTTTAAACCTTACAATTTCCTTGGGATTACTCTTTTGCAGTTGAGTCGCTCTTGACAGCTATAAGTGAAGCTAAGAAAGAGATTGAAGACTTGCAGTATAGGGAACAAAAGCGCATTGCAATTCAGGGGATAATTACTGTTATAAAGTATATCCCCCATAGCGGTGCAAGTGAAAGTGCTTCAGCATCAGACACACTTCGGGTATGGTGTCAGAGCATTAGCATATATCTCTGAAAGCACTGTGATCATTATAATCGGTACCTTGTATGTTGTATTCAGAACACAAATGTATTGACTATTAATTATGTAAACCTAGCAGTAAAAGAAAAAGTTCATTTTTGTTTTTTGATTCCTTTTTCTGTTGTTTATTTTGGGGCAGGTGAGGCTGCATGTCAGAGCCTCTGACATTGCCCAAGTTCCTTAATACTTGGTGTGTGGTTTTTGCTTTCTACATAACTTGAGTCTATTATGATTGTCTATTTAAATTCCCAAGTATTATATATGATTCTTTTCCTACATTTTGTCCAAGCCAAAACTATAAGAAGGCTTCTTCCCCACGAAGTTTTACCTCTACATATCTTGCATGGTAGTCTTACTCAGGTTCTATAAGAGGTAGCAGTGACTCTTATAGGGTGAATGGTCTAATAAGAGACTAGTTCTTAAATCTACACACAATAAAGATAAAATAGTTAAGATAAAATAGTTAATTTACCCCTGAGTTTATCTTTTTAAAAACTACCTTTACGTTTATTAGTATTCATATGGAAATGATCATCTAATTGATCTTTTCCATTATACTACCAATAAGTAAGAAGGATTTTTGTTTATCTTCCTTTTTAAAATACTTAGTAGCTAGATAGATTCAGATAAATCATCTGCATAAAAGCACTGTTATGAACGTAAATTCCCATCACAACTCCCAGAATTATGAAAAATGAATGAACTAAAATTACAGTCTTTGAAAGGAGAAATTTTTTTTATGTAATTTAAAA